GACCCGAGCGTACGGCGCGTCGCGTTCCGCGCGCGCCTCAAAGAGCCATCAGACCACCACAGATGGGGCCCAATAGGGCCGATGCCGATTCGGAGTCGCGGAGAACCTAACGGGTAACCGGGGCTCCGGCTCGACGCGCAGGAGAAGGAACGGGGTGGTTTTTAGTCAGTAAGAGTCTGACACTCCCTCCCGCCTCACCCAGGCCGGAGCAGTCATTTGATGATTTTCCCCCCTTAAAAAAAAAAAAAAACCCCATGAGAGACGAACGTGAGGTTATGTGTGTATGTATTTTGTTCTGTATCATTGTTGGTTTACACACGCTATTTTACAAAACAAAACAATACACAACGGCCTTATTCATCGTTTGCTTATATTTGAGTACCTACAAATTCTCAATGTGTTCTCAAATTTTCCAGTCGCCCCCATCTGCGAGATTAGAAGAGTAGTTCCTGTCGGCGTAATCAAAAAAGAACCGGAGACCGTAACGTGTACCGTAAGAGCAGATCCCGAACCATTCCACTTTACCTGGGTATACAGCGATGGCCGGACGGCCATCACGAAGGGCACCGTAAGTAATTTTAAAACGTAATGTCGATTAGCGGCCAACATTAATGACATATCTCGATCCAAAAACTGTATAATTATGGGTCAATTTTTTACATTAGATGGAGGAGTTTTTTCCAAACATACCTATGGGAGATACCTATATATTTTTCACACCCAGTGTTTCTAATATTTCCCCATAAAAATTATCTTTTATCTTCGAAGAATTTTATCAATATTCTAAGATTTCATGTTGTGATGACTATCATATTCTACTGTGCCGTAAACTTAGGTATTTATTAATACTATTTATTTCAGGTCCTCTCCGAAAACCGGTATTCGTCAAACCTGACCTGGCTTCCTCGTGATGGTGACTTCGGGATACTTGAGTGCAAAGCATCAAATTCCTTTGGCATCCAGAGTATACCTTGTTTTTATAACGTCATTCCGGGTGGCCCCCCCGTGCCACCGGAATGTGAAATAAAAAGCACTGAAGCCAGTCAACTTGACGTTAACTGTCGACTAGGTCAGATATATTTATTTTCTATATTTGTATGTACCGCAAAATGGGATAAATAGAAGTGGAAAGGTGAATAATCTATTCATAGAAGTGGAAAGGTGATACAGAAGAGGCGTAAATACCTATGTAGAAACTACAACCATTTCGTAATTTCTATTCATCTGTTTTTTTTTTATCAACTTACCCCGTTTTTCCGCAAGATATCCTTGAATGTAAAATATCTTATATCCGTCTTCTGGTTAGCGAGTAAGCGATCGACGCTCTGATTGGCCGGCTCCAACGAACCAGAGCGCTGAATGCGGTCTCGTTTCGATTACTTTAACGTAAAAAATCTCGTACTATTGTCTCTGAATTCTCTCTGAATTCTTCGATAGTGCTTTTGACTTATTTGTCTACAATAGTTTAATTTGCATTTAGGGTGGAACGGAGGGCGACCACAAACGTTAGTATTTAAACTAGTGAATGGAACAGGGAATATGCGTAGACATATCAAAGATCCTAAAACGCACCACCGTTTAAGCTACTTTCCGGAAGAAATGAACTTTATCGCGACATATTATAGCACAAGTACAAGAGGCAATAGTCAAAAAGTTATCGTAGTACTAAAATCTTTCACTTCTGCGTTAAGAGAACAAAAAATGGAAAGTATGGAAAGTACGTAAACATTAATTTATTATTTTATAATAACTATCGTGAGACATACTAAATTAAGTAAAAACGCGGATTACTCACGTGAATATACTGAGAAAATCTCTACGAGTTGTTAGTTAGTAGTTAGTAAACAGTGAGCTGTGCGACGTTGCCGCGACCGCGCACGCTGCTCATGAGGAAGAACGCCTCGAAACTAGTAGAGCTTTTCTCAGTACCTCTATATTCACGTGAGTAACCCGCGTTTTTACTTATATTAATTTATTATGTTATCATATTAAGTATAAAATGTAGTTTGAACTCACTCGGGCTAGCAATCTCATGACACCTATAGATATAACTAGCTGTTGCTTTCGACTTCATCCGCGTAGAATTATGATTTCTGCTAGAATTTATCTTTTCCTAGGTAAGTTATACGGCTGTAGCAAAAGTCGTCAGTATCGATTAAGTACCTAAGTTATATTTGTGGCGAAATGAATTTATTTTCGTGGTTTCAAAAATCAAACAATCCCACAGCTCCTGGTCCCGAGAGTCCCGGGGCTTTAACGGATAGTTCACGTTATTGGGGATAAAAACTATCATAGATGCGTCGTTTCCCAGATCTCAAACTATCGTTGTACCGTATGTCACTCAAATAGAGTTAAATAAAATAGGTTCAGTGGCTTAAAAGATACTGAGTCTCGGGATTTAAACGCATAGTTCCCGATCTCGTGGAATTAAGTAATAATAAAAACTATTCATTATGCTTTCCCTGGTCGCAAACCATTGCTGTTCTAGAGGTATATTTCAATGAAATAAGTACAGTGGTTTAAAAGATAGAGTATCCTGGGGCTTCAACGCATAGTTCCCGTTCTCGTGGGATTTTCGGGTTGAAAACTCTCAGGCGTTCTTTCTCGGGGCCTATCCTATTTAATCAAGTCATCAAAATCCTATTTAAGTGGACATGTTCATCATAGTTGCTCCAATCTTTAATTTCATTGCAATTAGTCAGAAATCTAAGAAGATTTATACAAACTTTCATCCCCTATTTTATCCCTTGGTCATTATTCCCTTGGAAACTGGGTAGGTTCTTAGTATGGGATGCCACTTGCATTTATACTCTTGCGCCATTCCATATCCCAACCTAAGCGTGTCGAGCCGGACCTGCCGCTACTGCTGCCGAGAACCTTAAAAGGCGAATAATAGCCAGATTGGCAATTATGCTTTCAAACCGTTTGGGGTTAAAGCTTTAGGGCCCTGGGGTCCAAGTGCACATCTTCTTTACAATATTTCTTTTCAAAGATATTGTAGTAAGTACTACGAGACAATGCTGCCAGTCTTTTGGGCACCCTACCTCACGACAATGATAATGATAATTTTTTGATGCGTTAATTTAGTTTTTCTTATCCAATTTTTATATCTTTTCTTATGTAAATATTATGGAATATGTACATAGATACCACTGTATGACAGGTTCTATTATAGAATCTATTACATAGAATCTATATTTGAAATATCACATTGTCGACTAGTTTAACTGGCTTTATATTTCTTTTTCAGAGAAAAAGAAGAAAACCATTCCTTCAGACCCTGGATGGATGCCTTACGTCAAGGTCATCAGCGGCATGTTAATAATTGCGGCAGCAGTGGCTGTTATAGGGCTTGGCACACAAATCTGCTACGTAAAACGGGACGAAGAATCTGAACCGGACCTGGTTCCTCGACATAACGGTACGCTGAATTATTGTAATTAGTACCGTTGATTATTCAGATTTCAGTCCAAAAATCTAACTTGCTTTGTTTTTCTTAGAGTGTTTCCATCCCGAACCGGATATAGAAATGGAGAACATTTCCGTTGAGGCACCGAATACCGTAAGTTTATTAAAACACCAAGTGTAGTATCTACCAACGCAATTACGTAGTTCCTTCAGCCAATAAATTAATTTCGATTTACCGAAAAACTTAAGTTTTAAATTCTTGAATTAAATTTTAAAACTAAAATTTTACTTATGACATCACCATTAGGTCCAATATCTCGTAGGTAATTGGTTTTAACAATATTTCAAAAAGTTGGAATGTACTCATTGCGTTGTTTTTCTCATTTAATTTACTCGTTTTGTCCTTGGTCCATTCATTGAATAATAGAATATACTAATAATATGAAATGTTTCTTCTACAGCCGTTTTGTTCGCCGGTGGTCCCGACCAGCCGCGTTATAATAGGCGGCCCTATCTCCCCTGCAGAAGAGGAATGTGAAGAGGACGAGGATGACGACAGCCAGCGATCATTTTTCGTCTAAAGAAGCGTTCAAGACCAAAGTTAATATACCATTGAGGACCACAAACTCAAATGCCCCCGACAATTCAAGCACAATACATACCTAACAGTTTGACAACGCCACAAAATAATTTATAGAACTAAGTACAATATTATGTCTTCAGTCGATTTTAAATACAACTGTATTGCTATCAGTACCTACACGTGTATTTTTAATGAAAATGTGTATTACATTTTGTAATGAATAGTGCGAGGATTGGTTTGATGCTTTGCTGGTCTTGACGTCCAAGGCTAATGACTGATTTAGGTGCATAGGGTTAAGATATTTCCGTATTAGGAATACGTAAACATAAGTTTATTATTGTTCTAATTTACATAACAGACAGCTCGAAACCTAAGACAAAGAATTGAAAAATAGCAATGTACTTACATTAAACACTATTTTCAAGAAAAAAAAACACTGGACTTGGTTATCATCCGATGGCGAGTCAAAAAACCAAATCGACTTTATAATACCAACAAAAAAAATCTTCGCAAATATGTGTCATCAATAACCTAAACTTTGAAACTAACTACGACGTAGTCAACTAGTCAGGACATAACTGAATATGGGTGGTAATGACCCAACCCAAGAATTCTGGACCAAATTAAATACAAAGGATATAAAACTCAACAGATATCTGACTCGAGAAGCAAAAGCAGAAGAAAAAGGAAATTTTGTTATGTCCGAACGTATTTCTATTCGATGTTCTTCGTTATATTTCTACAAGGTGGCGTTGGATGGTACCTTCATATGTATGTAAAGTTATCTATTAATACAGTCATAATCAATAAGTATAATGCGTATGTAAAAAATGTAATATACTTGTCTTAAGTAGGTACACATAGGATATGGAAAGTATTTAAAATTGTTGTACAATTTTTAAAACTACGGAAATAAAATGTTTAACATTATCTACACTAGATGGTTGATGTTTCATTTTCCCACTAATGCATTATCCAGTGTCAGACTCTTACTGACTAAAAACCACCAAAAACCCCGTTCCTACTCTCGCACTTCGAGCCGGACCCACGGTAGCCCGTTAGGTTCTCCGCGGCGAGAAAAAAAACATAGAGTGGAGCAACGCTTTATAAAAAAAAAACTGGTGACTACAAATTAAAGCATTCTTAGATAAATCTGAAATGAAGTAGGATCTGTCATAATTTCTTAAAAGATGTATGCCTTATTATAGGAAATAATTCATTGAAATATTGTCGTTGTTGCCAAATTTGTCTGACAATAACAAATGACAAACTTGATCATCCGTCCGTGTGGGACGATTTTTTTTATGGCATAAGCCGGTAAACGAGCAGACGGATCACCTGATGGTAAACAATCATCGTCGCCCACGGACACCTGGAACACCAAAGGCGTTACAAGTGCGTTACCGGCCTTTTGGAGATTAGGAGTTTGAGGATCGTTGGGAATTCAGGAATTGGAGAGATTGGGGAAGGGGAGGGTAATTGGGCCTCCGGTAACCTCACTCACACGACGACGAGAACGCAAGCGGTTCTTCACGTGGGTTTTCCGTGACGCCGTGGTATCACTCCGGTCGAGCCGGCCCATTCGTGCCGAAGCATGGCTCTCCCACACTTGAACATGAACGATGACAAAATAAATAGTAATTTTTAGTTCTTTTTTTTCCCTACGTCAGTTTTTATTTTAAGTTGTACATATTTATTTATCTTCATATTTTTATAGTTCACTAGCGACCCGCCCCGGCTTCGCACGGGTGCAATATGAATGTATTATACGTACAAACCTTCCTTAAGAATCACTCTATCTATTAAAAAAAACCGCATCAAAATCCGTTCCGTAGTTTTAAAGATCTAAGCATACATACGGACATACAGCGAAAGCGACTTTGTTTTATACTATGTATTGATGTAGAATATCCAGTACTACAAAAATACTAACATGGGACTCATAACAGTGAAAAGTGGGTAAGTATTACATTGTACAGTGGCATTAAGTGCCGTAATGTGCAACTCTACCATAGATATTATCATATCAGTGAACTCTACCAACCCCTTAGGGGCTAATGTTATATTTATAAATCTATGCTAAAAGACGTGACGTTATGTTTATTAAAAATAAAATGCTTCTGACGTATTCGTAGACAGAGAATCTCTGTCTACGTGACGTATTGAATTTTTGACATTGTCATTGTCAATGAAAATGACAATTTAGCCGAGAATTTACCGTTATCTGTGGTTGAGACTCATTTGCCAAAGGGAAAAAAATAAATATCTGTGGTTTGGTTGGTTGACTGCAAAGAGTGTTGACTGGTTGTGGAAAAGGAATCAAATGACGCTTTGTGAAACGGTAAGTTTGCGTGTTTACATGCTTATATAGATTTCAATTTCAATATTTATCAAAGAAAAGTGTATTCGGTGCTTTATTGCGACATTTAAATTAACTAAACTCGAGCCTATGTAACACAATTGGTTGTGTAATTAATTTTATTTGGTACTCACCACGCCCTACATTTTCAACCGTTGCCTGGCATTAGGCGCGGTCGGTGCTCGCACAAAAACAGGTCTCAATATTGGTTCTTGACTGAGATTTTTTCTTCAACAGGTTGGCACCAGTTTGTAAAGAATGTCGGCACCTGAAATTAATGCTTACTTTACAGGGAACGGGACGTACAAGCCTATAAACCCGATTGCCTCGAAAGTTGGTGATTTCACACCGTTTTACATTGCCATTGCAATCTGCTCGGTGATTCTCGGCTTTCTGATCATACTGAACGTGGTGTGCTGCTGTTCCAGATATTCAGAATACTGGCTTGACAGACATACAGGTGATTATCAATTTGTAACTATGTATATAATGCCATTGTGCAACACAAAACTGTACGAAGCTTCATAATAATTTATGTGCAGACATCCTTAAAAACCTTTAACAGTATATCATTGATATTTATCTTCAATGTTGTAGTTATATCTCAGCAGATGAGATAAGATGATCATTGGGTGACTTTAAGCCATTCAATGATGTTATAAGCAAATCTATTATGTTCCCATTATGTCTTATAAGAATATTAATAAGATCTTATTAATTCTATCCTGAATTGGTCAAACTCGAACCTGTAGTTTTATAAGTTAACCAACAATTTGCTTATATCAGCTCTTGTACTTTACAGGTAATCGCTGGATTGTGTCAATCTGGTCGGCGACTCCACACAAGCAGCCACCACTGGACTTCACAGAGCTTGAGAGCAACTTCCAGCAAGTTCACTATGTGCATCCTTACGGAGAAGACAGTGAAGAGTACCGTGACATCCACAAACATAGCGTCCCACCATCAGTGTCTCAACAGCCACTGACTTCTTCCCAGGAGTACTTGGAGTTGCACAAGAGGGAGAGTGACATTTAGAATGGCGTTCTTGATGCTTTATCCTGCAGTAGCAGTTCTCTCTATGTTCGTACTGATGGTTATCATATTAATTCTAAGATTTGGAGCTCGCTGGTGCAAGCTCCGTCATAATACACTGGCTGACCAAGAATATTGGAATGAAGATGATGCATATGAACAGAAAGTTTCATATGCTTAATTTTTCTAAATCTTTTTACTAACATTCCTTGTGTATTTTAGATTAGATGTAACAATAAGCTAAATAATTAGTATGAGATACTTGTGTCAATTAGGAAATCAGTATTTCAATGTCCATTAGGTAGTATATTATTTAACATTCCCACTTTATACACTTTATTTTACCTATGGTAACAATTTTTTTGTTTTGTATAAGTTGTTTAAGTTCATGAACCCGTCCAACTATGGTCCTATAGACTTAATATTTTATTGGTTTATTGTAATTAATCAGAAGTATTCTTAAACTTTATTTTATTTATGTTCTTATACCAACATTTTGTTGTGTTTTCATAATAACAGATTCTTTTAAATTCTAATAACTGTTTTTAAATACAGAGTGTTTTTATGATTATGATTTAAATACATTAGGTCTCTTTTGCCTTATAGTGTATTAGGGTAAAATTTTACATAAAATAGTTATATATTATCCAATTTTCACACTAGTTGTGTACTCTTTTACATAAAATCTGAAAATGACTGTATGTTCGTATGTTAGACAAAAATTATATAATGTTATGTAGGCTTCAATAGAAATGTAAGTTTAACTTTTATGTCAATGAACTGGTATGGTATGGTAATTTTAGTGTTGTAGAATCAAGCATTTCTCGAATATTGCATTTGAAAACGACATGTAATCCGTCCAATAAATTAAGTTTAAGTACTAAATAACTGGTTTCATTTCACGTTACACACCGCGTCACCAGTGACCGACATTAGCGAAACATTTGTCTTCAACTGTTTTTTATTGGCAGTCAAAGGATTATCAACTGATCACTTGTCAAAGGTTAGACTGAATTCCAGCAACTGTACACAATTATGATTTCAACTTACACCATTGCTTGTCTGCAGTTGTATGGTGTTGATTTTAACTATATGTCAATATAACCTGTTGGTTATAGTGTAGTGCTGCTGCCGGCAGTGTGTGAACTACCCTACTGTCTTAAAAAGTACGTAGTTTCTAACTTGCCATCTTGGCACCAAGCCATCTTGCCATCTTGAGACCAAGATGGCAAGTTAGAAACTAGGTAAAATATATACTGATGCAGTAAGAAAATAGATTTCTCTCTATAGCCTTATGTTTTGTTTGATTCAAATCGGGCAATGCCTGCCTACTCCAATGGGATGGGAGTCAGGCGTGAGGTTATGTATATATGTGTATGGAGATTGGAGTGCCTGTGTCTGACTGGGAATTTTCGAACCACTATTTTTTTAGAGATTTGAAATCTCTGACTGCCTCATTGGCCGAGTTGTCACAAGTGCGACTGCCGGGCAAGGGGTCTTGGGTTCGATTCCCGGGCCGGGCAAAGTTATACTGGATTTTTCATAAAATTACAGTAGTAGCACGGAGTCTGGAATTGTGCCCGGTTTATGGCACAAGCTGTGTCACTTGAACTTGAGCCTTTGTAGTGCATTCCCTCCAGGCAAGAAGGAACTTGATTTGTTACTAATTCCTTACATTTGTGTAAAGGTATACTTACAATGCATAAAGTATTAATGAATTTCTTATATTTACAAAAAGTCTTAGTATGCTGACTGTAGATTAGTGGTATGCGAGAGCGCAGATCTAAGTGAGACACAATCTATTGTGTCTCATATACCAACATACAAGAGGTTAATTCTAAAAGTAAATCATATTGCAACAGGCTTGCCCGCTTGCTCCATATTGTATGAATGAACTGAAAAAGTGTGGGAGAGCCATGCTTCGGCACGAATAGCCCGGCTCGACCGGAGCGATATCACGACCTCTGAGGAAAACTGACGTGAAACAACCCTTGCATTGTGTTTTGTCCTGTTAGTGACGTTACCGGAGTCCCAATTACCCTCTTCCCCAGTGTCTCCGGCATGGAGGAACACCCTTGTAACGCCTCTGGTTTTTCAGATGTCCATGGGCGGCGCTGATTGCTTACCATCTGGTGATTCGTCAGGTCGTTTACTGGATTATTCCATAAAAAAATGACATATGGGACTTATTCCTGCAACAACTGGTAAAAAGTGGGTAATGAATTGCACTATTGTCCTTCCAGAACTAAATGTATGTTAATCTGTTAAAAAGATAAATCCTTGTAGATTCTAATGTAAGTAATATCATAATATCTTCTCTCTGGAGCCCTGACCACCAGTAGCTTGCATTTCTCCAGTTACTGGTAGGTTACGGTTTTTTATATATTTGTATTGTGTGGTAAATAAATAATAAAATAAGTAGAAAAAATCATATAAAAATGGTACTCCCAACTTCTGAAATACAATTTTACTTCAACAGCGTTACAAAGTCACCATGATAAGATTTTTATAGCACAGTACATTCAACAAAATATTGTTCACTTCTCCTTTTAGTTACTTTACACAATAAAAATCTGAACTATGCAATACACTGATACAAACAATTAACATGCTATTTATTTAAATGGTGTGTAAATAATTGTTAAGTTCAGAAAAAGCATGCATTTATATTTAAACATTAATTTACAATTTCAGTTATTGTATTAGCAATTAGCACAACTCGGATATCCAATATAATTATTATGTACAGCATATTATGTATATCACATGTAACATCTCATTGTTGTAAATAGAGAAAATAGACCATAAGTAAAAGATCGCAAATACAATAATTGATTGCAGCAGACTGCAGCTTATTAGAATTTTGTATGGCAGGGCACATGAATAACTGGCATTGTTTTCAGTTTTATGTTCTATTTGATTCATAGTACTAATGAAAATGGTGAAGAATTCCTGGAAGAATTTCGTTTACGAAAATTACAAGCAATGCCCAACCAATAACCTATACCTATAATATTTTCCAAGATTATCATATCACAATGTGATTTTGTTAAGATCAATATAACGGTTATATTTGCAGAAAGATCATACAATGTGAGACTATGATAAACTGGATTAGATCTTTTTGGATTAATCATGTAGTACCTACCTATATTTTACTATGCCACATTTACAGTATTTTAATTGATTCTGGGTTTTCGCTCAATACATTTTGGGCCATTGTCCTTTACACAGATAAAAATTGGTTACCTTTAAATTGTGTTTTATTAAGTAAATAATAGTAGTGTATCACACACTGCAGAAACATGAGATTAACTTAGTCTAGCACTAAATACTGAAGTCCAAACTTTGAAAGAAGTTCCTTCTATTTAGGGATGTATGCCTTTTCTATTTTGACATCATCAACTGGGCAATCATTTTTGTCACACTCAACTAAACCTATTCTCTTCACTACAGCCATCCCAGACTGGACTCTACCAAAGATTGCGTGCTTTCCGTCAAGCCACTGCGTAGGAGCTAACGTGATAAAGAACTGAGACCCATTAGAGTCGGGTCCAGCATTTGCCATTGACAACACTCCAGCTCCTGTGTGCTTCAAGTCTGATGCTATTTCATCATCAAACGTCGGTCCATATATAGATTGGCCGCCCTTCCCCGTACCAGTAGGATCACCTCCTTGTATCATAAAATCCCTTATGACTCTGTGGAATTTCGTATTGTTGTAGTAACCGCGGCGAACCAATTCCATAAAATTTCGACATGTTATTGGTGCGTGCTTCCAGTACATCTCCACAACCACCGGGCCCATACTGAAAATAATAAATTAAGTCTATAAGGCAAGAAAGAAAATAACAACTTGTATAATATAGAACTATAACCTAAGTCACAAAATTTTTGTACACAAAAGTAGTGTCTTACGTTGTTTCTAACACAGCAACGGGCGGCTGCCATGATTTATCAGGAATTCCAGCGTTAGAAAAACCAAGCATGATGTTGCAGAGACAATTATTTTCCCAAAACTCTAAACTCAGATCAGACTTATTTTTATATCAAAAATTTAAATCACACACAAAATGTAATGTAGAAGTCCATTTCACGAAAGAAGTCCCGCGGACAATTGTGGAACTAAATTTGACAAATGGGGAGTTCGGCCATGTTGTCGTTTGTCGATGTTGTCAAGGTGGGTTTGTTGTGGTAGATATTTTGTGAGTTTATTATTAAATTAGTGCATTATAAGGTTTATTTACGATGCCAAAAGTTGTAAAAAGTGCAGGTCGAGAAATGATATTAAAATTGAAAGAGTTCTGTGAAGCGGAACAGAAGAATCGCGGCGTTTTAATACCATTAGACAATGTTCGCAAAAGAGTTGCCGCCATAACAGGTAAATTTTGGGGCTGCCATATTAAACATATTTTTTACCAATTAGACTTAAGTTTTTTTAATGAAGAATTAACATAACACAACAAAAATTTGTAAAATTGTATTCAACAATAATATAATTAAATGCGGAAAAAGGCACTATTAGATTTTTTTTAATTTTTCATTTTATTGCAGGTGTGTCGGAGAGTCGTGTGTTATAAACAGACGGGTAGCGGTTAAAAACGTGGGCCAAGATCCAAAAGAAATTGTACGCCTAACAGAAGAGGCGTTCGAGACTGTTACAGCGGAAGATTGGGCAGTTCAATGCAAACATGTACAGCATTTGGAGGAAGAATATTTAAAAAATGATGGTCTTATGGATGAAGAAATGCATCGATTTATTATATCTACGGCTAGTGATAATGAAACAGAATCTAATTCTGTTTCTATTCACTCTTCTGACAGTGATCATAGTATGACCGATCATAATTATTCAATAAAACTTTAATAAAACTTTTTAAATGTTATTTTATGTTTCTAATTTGATGTTGGTTGAACATCTTTATTTCCATTTTATATTTTAGAAATTACAGGAAGATTAATTTTTCACTAATCTGACCTTAGCAGTATAAACATAAATACCTATATAAAAAGACATTATTTTTAAAATATTCCTCGAACTGTTCGAGTACGTAGTTAATCAAACTAATGTCAATTTCTCCTGATTTCCCCATACTATATAAATTTAACCGTGGCAACATTATGTCGCGCGAATACAGCGCTGCGTCTGCGGGACTTCTTTCGTGAAATGGACTCTA